ACTGCAATATTACTGAAGCAATCTTGAACTAAATTGATCAATGTTTTGGGGAAATAATTTATAATTTGTCCACATTCCTGGAATGACAATTAGGCATTATATGTATCATTTAAATCATCCAGTGATAATAACCCTCCATAACTTCTCACTGCTGTTCTGGGAGTTAAGATGTTCAGGGAGCTTCAGGAGCAGAACTGTATCAGATTTAAATTCCCACTGCAGATATATTAGAATCCGGTCCTGAGGCTGATGTGTTTCTGTCATCAATTTATGATTCATAACTTCCAGCTCTTATCTTGTTTAAACTTCTGCTGGCCAGATGTTGACCGATCATGGTAAAAACATTCTGATTTTGTACTTAGGACTCCACAGAAAAGTAATATCCAGCTGTATTTCCCAGAAAATAAACTCATGTGCCGTAATAATCCACCAAAGGTCATTTTTCAGCCATGGAAAGTAAGAATCAGGGGGTGAAAACACATAGTTCTCTTAGATGATGCTGGGCCGCCATTTTAGATCTATGTAGCATTAAGATCAGATTACCGTATTTTCACGACTATAAGGCGCACTTAAACGTCTTTTTTTTCCCTCAAAATGTGCGGTGCGCCCTATATGTGTTGCAACTGCGATTTTTGAGACCACCTCATTGAGGAGATGATGAAAGAGTAGCTGAATGTAAGGAGACCAGGTGTTTTTTTTCCACTCATCACCATCGCTGTTAATATGTGACTCCATGCGTGCCCATCTCACAGCTGATGTGAAAAACATGGGGAAACAAATTAACGCTGTGCTCGCTGTTCAACCTCTCGACATCGGTGTGAACCGGACCCAGCAGGTGCAGCAGAAGCAGCGAGTTTACATGCAAAGTCAATGGTTGACGCACGTATAGGTGCAGCAAAAGGTCCCGCAGCGCATTTTGAGCAGCAGGCGCTGCGCGTCGGGAGCGTTTAAGCATCTGACGCACCGCCAACGCGCTGCTGCTGCTCGAGATGGAAAAATTGAAGTTTTGCTGCTGGACGCGCCGCATCAACCAATCAGAGAAGCAGATCTGGGAACTGACAGCGAGACAGACACATCGCTCTGATGACATATGATATTAACGCAAATGAAAAAGGCTGGATGGATGAGGAGATGATGAAAGCGTGGCTGAGGCAGGTGTATGTGAGGAGACCAGGTGGTTTTTTCCACGCATCACCATCGCTGCGTGCCCATCTCACAGCCGATGTGAAAAAAAAAAGGTGAATCAAATGAACGCTGTGCTCGCCGTTATCCCGGGGGTCTGACAAAGGAACTTCCACCGCTCGACATCGGTGTGAAGCGGCCGTTCAAAGTAAGGCTGCAAGCGGCGTGGGAGCGATGGATGACAGACGGAGACCACAGTTTCAGGATAAGTGGAAGGCAGCGCCGGGCAAGTTACGCCACCGTTTGCGGATGGATTGTAGATGGACTAACGTGTCTGCTGGCTCTGTTCTTCAAGCTTTCGCAAAAGCCGGCATTATTTCTGAGGAGCCGCACGGCACGGAAAGTGACTCTGACAGCGAAGAATGGGAAATTGGCATGTCTGATTTAGCGCAGCTGTTTAATTCAGAAACAGAGGATGATGACTTTGATGGGTTTGATTAATACTTTGTAATAAATACTTGAATAAAGCACAATCATACTCAGTTTTGCTCCCGCTGTATTTTTCTACCTGAAAACTTAATTCAACAGCAGCCTCTGGGCGGGTCTCCTCCTCTTCAGCGCAGCGGCTGGCAGGTGTTTTTTCATCTAAATAATCTAAATCTTGCAGCTATATTTGCTGTGATCAGTGGGAATAAAGTAGTTTTAATATGTTTTTAAGTGAGAAAGTCCACCTGAAAACTTAATAATTGCAGTCAGTTCATCCAGATTATCTATTTCTGTCGGAGGCGCTCAGACCCCCACATACCAGCGGTACACCGACAGTAGAAATCCTTTCATCAGCAGCCTCTAGGCCGGGTAGCCTCCAGGTTCACCGCGGCTGCTGGCAGGTGTTTTTCATCTAAATAATTTAAACTGCAGGCACCAGGATACCGGCAATAAAAGCGAAGATATTCCGTTGGCAGGTTTCAGGATTTTAAGTTAATTTAGGAGTGATCACAGCGCTGTGTCATCTGCGATGTGTCTGTCTCACGGCCAGCTGCCAGGTTTGATTAATACTTTGTAATAAATACATGAATAAAGCACAATCATACTCAGTTTTGCCCCCGCTGTATTTTTAAATACGCAGTAGAGGTATTTAAACGAAGTAGAGGACATGTACCTGTATATAAAAAACGCGCCTTTTATTACGGTGCGCCTTATGGTCGTGAAATTACGGTACTTAAAAAAAAAACACCTCTTCATGAAATAAATTGCCACCCCACATGTAGTCGTGTCCCCATAAATAATAAAGAAGGCATTTTTTGGTCATTTAGTTTCACGTTGTCTTGACATCACCCTAAGCTGCGCACCCCTTTGAAAAATCCTGGATCTGCCTGATTATTCTTTCCATCTGACTTGTTTAGAATGACTTGCTGATTTTCCTCCTTTTATTCAGTCAGACTGAAAGTGTCCCTTTGAGAAGATGCAGAGATTTGATGCTCCTCAGCAAACAGACAGACCATCATCTCCAGACCTAAACAGAGGAACATTTCCAGTTTCCATCCACCTGAGGCTGTTTCCATCATTTCTAGGTGTGTTACTGAGTGAATGAGGATCAATGGGATTCAGTTCCATCGTTCAGGTTTAAACCATTAAAGATGAAACTCTGGAAAAAAGTAAAGGAGGATTTATTCAATGGCCAGATTTGAACACACTCAGGCTCTAAAAAGCAAAAAAGATTAATGCTGATGGAGGAGCAACAGGAAAGACTGGAGAAGACAGAAGGTGAATGACATTAAACTATTTATTTTAGCTTTAGTTTGGCTGAAAATATCAGAGAAAACATGGAAAATATTGTTCCTTATTTATATGAAACCATAAAGAAGCACATTTTTACAATCCAAGAGGTTTTATTGCTGCTCGTTCATCAATTTAGAAGCGATTACAATAATTAAAAACATCCACAGCAGAATATAATCCATAAAATCAGTTGTATAAAATAGGTGATAGTTACTTTCAATCATAGCAGGTAAATAGAACATCTACAGAATCAAGAACAAAACTATTAGAATTAGTTCAAAGGAAAATTATACTTTCAAAAAAATCTTTAAAAAGCAGAAACTTTACACTTCTAGAGGAGAGTCAGATTTCTTTAATACATTATTAAGACAAAGGCTTTTTACCAAGTTAAAGCAGGTTCAAACTGATCAGTAAAAATAACAACATCATCAATCCTGTTTATCTTTTTAAACAAACATGTTTCATCATTTTAGGACTTTAATTTACCTGAACTACAGACTCCAGCCTCTAAACTGAGTTCTTTGATGTCCCGTAGTTTAACCCCATAATCCCAGCACCCCCTTTCAAGGTGGCTGGAGCTACTTTGCAACATTAATTAGCTTGTAGCTGACTAACTCTGAGACTGACACACACTTATATATGTCCCAAATCTTCATCTGAGACTCCTCTATAGATGATCTACTTCATTCTAATATCCATTGACCATAGCTCTAACACTGGGCCAAAAACAGTTGGAGTTTTGGTGGGCCTGGTTTCAACAACACACGTAGCAGGGCTGATTGATGCATTGCTAATGAAAGCCAACAAGACACTGAATTAGCTAAACTCTGATCATTTGCAGCTGATCTCTTAGAAAATCCTCCAAAAACATCAGCAACACTGAGCAAAGCTCATTAAATCTGTCCTAGCTTTGCTTTTATTTTCATCTGAGGATATTTTCATCTGAATAAAAGTCTGTTTCTGGAATATATCCAACCACAGCTTAACAATCAGGTAACAGTTTGCTATGTCTCAAAAATAAAACTTTTTTTTTCTGAATAAATTCATCTGGAAAATAGTTGTGCCACACCATACCAAAAATCACACAGTGGGGGTCTCTCCGGATTTTTTTCAATTGAAACATCTAGAACTTCTCATTTGCTTATTGTACTGACAGAAAACTCGCTTCATCTGCAACCAAGATGTTGTTGTTGCACTTTATTAAGTTTATTCCCTTTATCACAGAAAAAGCAAGAAATTATGAATGTAAACAGCTTTTCTGTTAGGGCGACGTTCTATTTTTGGCCATTTAAATTGAATTTACTCAGGACCAAAATAATTAACTTTCTTATGTTCACATCCACATATTCGCCCAGGACCTGAATATTTACCAGGTTAACAATATCTTATCTGTTCTAGTTTCAATGTAAACAGAGCTGTTAATTCATGGCTTTATGAAAACTTTTAGAAAAAAGAAAAAAAGGACATTAACCCGTGGACATTTTATCTCCAACATGGAAAACGACTCTACTGTTCATTCCTGTGGCATCTAACTGTTATGACTTATGTTAAACAAATGGTTTTTGTTTTTTTAAATTAATAAATCATTTCACATCATGCATAAATAAATGTCACCTGGATACTTAAATTACCTTCTCATTTAAAATCTTTGTGAATAATCATTCAGAACAGGTTCTCACCTGTGTGAATTCTCATATGTCTAGTCAAACTACTTTTTACGGTAAAACTTTTGCCACAAATCGTGCAAGAAAAAGGTTTCTCATCTGTATGAATTCTGGTGTGAACATTAAGATCAGTCTTATAGGTGAAGCGTTTTCCACAGGACAGACATTCAAAAGGCTTCTCACCAGTGTGAATTCTCATGTGCCTGTCAAAATGAGATTTCTGAGTGAAGCTTTTTGGACAGGACAGGCATTGAAAAGGTTTCTCACCTGTGTGAATTCTGATGTGTTTATTAAGATCAGACTTAGAGGTGAAGCGTTTTCCACAGGAAAGACATAAAAAAGGCTTCTCACCCGTGTGAATTCTCATGTGCCTGTCAAAATTAGATTTCTGAGTGAAGCTTTTTCCACAGGAAAGACATTCAAAAGGCTTCTCACCTGTGTGAATTCTCATGTGCCTGTCAAAATTAGATTTCTGAGTGAAGCTTTTTCCACAGGAAAGACATTCAAAAGGCTTCTCACCTGTGTGAATTCTTGTGTGTCTATCAAGTTTTGATTTCTTAATAAAGCTTTTTCTACAGATCTTACACTGATAACACTTCAGACTCATGTGAGCCATTAAATGCTCTTTTTTTAGAAAGTTTTCTCCACATGTTAAACATGGTAAAGGTTTCTCTCCTGTATGTTCAGTTTCCTGCCTTAGAACAAGCTGCTCTTTCTGCTCACTTATGGGGAGCTCCATGGTTTCCTCTTTTGTCCAGGGATGTTCTGGTTCTTGCTGCTCTTCTTTTATCTGTGGATGTTCAGATTCCTCTTGGTCCAAACTGGAATTCCTCTCCTGTCCACAGAGCTGCTGGTCTGAGAAAACCTCTTTTCCATTATAATCAGGCAGGCGGTCTGGAAAGACAAACACAGCAAAAATACTTTCTGTTGGTGGTTAAATAAAAGACACTTCACTTTAATCATCCTTGTGTCAATCTAACTACATACAAAGAGACTGGAACTACATCTCCCAGCATGCACTGCAGCTCTGACATCTCAGTCAGAGGTTTGGGCCTCCACTTTAATCTTTAAAGCTTTAGATTATGTCTGAACAGAACATGCTTTTCTTTTATTTTCCCAGTACAAAAACCCAATCTTAGTTTTCCAAACAATTTAATATTTGATGTTTTACTGAAGGGTTAAAACATCCTGTGGGATCTAGCCTTGATTTCCATTTAGAGAACCGATATTAAATAACTACCGTATTTTCACGACTATAAGGCGCATAGAGGGCTGCGTACCGAACTTCGGTTCTTTTATGGTACCGACCGAAATGCTTCGGTTCTACAGAGTATCAAAACATGCCTCGTCTTTCGGTGCCAAGTTTCGGTGATTGGCTGTAACACTTAACGTGATTGCGTCATCCAGGAAAAATACACAGGTGGTCCCGCCTACAGCCAGGGTTCATGTGTATCTGTTGTGAACTGGTTGCAGCGTCGTGGAACCCCTTTAAAATGCCCCCCAGGTCAAAAGTGTGACTTCACTTTATTAACACTGATGCTAATAGTGCGCAATGCAATACATCGTGCACGGAAACAATTTAAGAGCAGAAAGTTGCTCGGTGTTTGACTGCAAGAAGAGCGGACCGCAGCCGGCGCTCTCAGCAGCCCGTGGGATCCCATTCAACGGGCTTGTTTGTCAGACATGGTAATTTTCCTAAAGGAAAACTGCTAAGTAAAAAGGTCCTCACAATGTAGGGTGACCAAACGTCCGTATTTCCCAGGACATGTCCGTATTTCATGTCCTCTCCTGGGCATCCCGGTTTTTTTTAGAAAGTGAGGAAATGTCCTGATTTTTTAAATCACCTTCATTGGACTTTTAAATTAACAGGCACTAGGGCACTGCGCACGACACTGCGTGTGACGTAATCCCTGAGCCGCGTCAGTGCGGGCAGCCCTGTTCTTAATCAGAAGATAAATAGCGTGGCTGTCAGTACGCCAACAACATGCAAAAGCGCAAAAATGTATGTTTACCGACAATTTACAAAACAGTTTCCCCGCTTTCTGACTGGGTCGAGACACAATGGATGCCTTGTGCACAGTGTGCAAAGCAGGCACATATGTCTCTGTGTCCAATGGAGGTGCAAGGGATCTGAAAAGCCACCTGGACACCAAAAGTAAAGATAGTCTATTGACATGTTTGTTCGTTTTTGGTACATTTTGAAAAATTTTTGCTACACAAGAGGTATTTTTTGTTAATTAGCTCATTTGTTAATTTATTTTTTCCAATAACCTACAGAACAGACATTATTTCGTTCATTACTGAGGCTGAGTATCATCTGTTATTGGGAGTTGAGAGTTATTGTTAACTTTTGTTAATTGAGGGATGTTTAGATGAGACATTATTTCTTTCATTGTGCTATTCATTCATTACAGGAATTGTTAAGCATTTATAATAAATACATTTTGAATGAAATTATCATTTGTTATTGGAGTTGACTTTTACTGAAAAGCATTTTTAATAAATCAACTGTAGATATAGACATCTCTATGCATGGGAACAGAGGTCCCAACCCCCACCCCACCCCGCGCTCCAAGGTGTCCTGGTTTTCCGAAAGGAAAATATGGTCACCCTATCACAATGTAACAGTGAATATTAGACACTGAATTTTTTTTATGTAAGAGGAAAAATGTAAATGGAAAAATCAGAGCTTAAAATAAAACTCAAGATTTGTACTTTTTTATGTTGTGTAATTTTCTTTTTCTTCGAATTGATATTATAAAACTGGTATCGAAAAAAAGTATCGTTCAGGAACCGGTATCGAAGTGAAGGTATCGGTATTGGTACTGGAACCGAAAATTTTTGAACATTACCCAGCCCTCGGTGCATATAAACGTCTTTTTTTCCCCTCAAAATGTGCGGCGCGCCCTTTGGTGCGGTGCGCCCTATGTGTGTTGTTACTGCGGACTTTTGAGACCACCATGCACCATGCAGAACTCCTCATCTCCTCATTGAGGAGATGATGAAAGAGTGGCTGAGGGAGGTGAATGTAAGGAGACCAGGTGGTTTTTTTCCACTCATCACCATCTCTGTTAATCTGTGACTCCATGCGTGCCCATCTCACAGCTGATGTGAAAAACATGGTGAAACAAATGAACGCTGTGCTTATTGCGGGAGATCTGACAAAGGAACTTCAACCGCTCGACATCGGTGTGAACCGGCCGCAGCAGGTGCAGAAGAAGCAGCGAGTTTACATGCAAAGTCAATGGTTGACGTGCGTATAGGCGCAGCAAAAGGTCCCGCAGCGCGTTTTGAGCAGCAGGCGCAGCGCGTCGGGAGCGTTTAAGCATCTGACGCGCTGCTGCTGCTCGAGATGGAAAAATTGAAGTTTTGCTGCTGGACAGCAAATATAGCTAGGATAGTGAAGCTCCGCCCAACGCACGTCAGACACACTTTTGCACCGCGCAGGCAGAGCAGCTAAGCTGCTTCAGCCGCGCGTCAGAACTAACTGGTACAATCTAAGGATGATGACTTTGATGGGTTTGATTAATACTTTGTAATAAATACATGAATAAAGCACAATCATACTCAGTTTTGCTCCCGCTCTATTTTTAAATACACAGTAGAGGTATTTAAACGAAGTAGAGGACATGTACCTGTATATAAAAAACGCGCCCTATAGTCCGGTGCGCCTTGTGTGTGTGTTAAATACAGAAATGGCACACATAACTGAGACTGCGCCTTTTAGTACGGTGCGCCTTATGGTCGTGAAAATACGGTAAAACAATCTGAATATCTCTCAACCGTCTCAGAAATTCCATCTTGCTTTGCATTCATTGGTAAAATAACCATCTGTACGTCTATTTCCATCATACAAATGTCTGAACATGATCATTTAATGAGATATAATCAGGGGCGAACATAAAAAAAAAAAAAAAAAACTTTGGGGCTTTTCATTTTAAATCATGACGGGGACAGGATGTTATTGTATCAGCCAGAGACTTTATACTCTTTTCTTCTCTCATAATTTCAAATAAATCTGTTTGACTGTTCTCAACTACTGACACCTTTAGCTATTATGCTAGATCTGCTAAATTGAACCCGCCCCTTTATATGCACTGAATGAACTATTAATGTTGAACATGGATTGTTTATTTCCAGCTTCTGTAAAGGGCTCCTGAAAAGCCACAGAAACATCTGCATGTTCCAGCTCCCACCACCAGCTGATTAACAACACAAACTAGAACCAGATGCAACAAAAGCTCCTCTGGGTCTCTTTAGCTACGTTTACATGCGCAAAATTTCCCCGATCTGATCCAAACCTTGGTTGATCGGAAATTCAAAATCTCCGTTTACATGGACACTAAATGAAATGATCCGATCATGACGTGTGTATACATGTACCAAGCGTTGGATCAGATTAAATCTTTTAAGCATGCGCAGAACTTCCTGCCAAACTTGGCAGTTCTGTCTGCGTCTGGTTTTTGGGAGGCCTGACAAACGATGCGCTCGGAGCGAGCGGAAAGAAAAAAGGAGAGAGGAGGAAAAAAGCGCTTGGCAGCGAAATGTACGAGAGAAAATGTAGAGAATGAGCGATTGAACCGGCTTGGGAGAGCGAGTGGGCTGTGGAGAGAGAAAAGAGGAAGAGGAGGAGGACAAATTCCTGCTTCCTGCAGCTTTAAATGAACTTGAGTGTATAAGTCGGCGTTCCTAGACTCCTCCCGCCATGTTGTTCACAGCGAGAGCGAGAGCGACCGGTGGTTTCCTGTTGTTGACAAGGCGGAAAAACGTCACGCTGACGTCGCACACATGCGCAGTGAAGATTATTTTACTCTTCAGATCCGAATGGGTGTTTACATGGACGCCAATCGGAATGGCGATCGGCAAAAACCACCTCTCTCATTCGGAATTAAATTTAGATCCGATCGGACCGAATCGGATTAGAATCTTCAGTCTGACATGTTTACATGAAACATTTTTGATCTGATCAGGCCTTCAATCCGATTAGTTGTGTCCATGTAAACGTAGCTTTTGTTGAAGTTTCACAAAGCAGATAAAGCTTTCAGAAATCCCAAAGAGGGTTTGAAAGATTCTGCTCTCAGATTGGAATAATCTAAGTGTCTGAGTTCTGTAGTTTTTTAAAGTAGAGCAGATTAAAGACACTTAAACATCTTCAGACTTGGAAACAAAATCTAGTGGATTGTTTTTTTTTTTACTTTTTTGGAATAAAGACACTTAAGATGATGAGAAGAGTGGCTGTAATTATTAATGCGGCTTTACTTCTGAATTCTTGAACATCTTAAAACTGAAATATTTTTTGAGTTCAGGGTTTTATACAGTAGTCCATCAGAACCTTGTTTATGTTTAGAAAACATGCAAATTGAAACAGACGAATCTAATGGCACAGTTGTGCAGCTCAGCTAAAGCTAGCATACTTGCACATTTGCAATGTTTTTTGAAAAAAAAAAGACTATTTTAAGATGTTTAAATTAAGATCTGTGGCTGATATGGTTGTGGTTTGACCGTAGCTATTAGCTGGGCTGCTTTTCAAAAACCATAGTTGCCAAAGTAATGCATTATTGTTTCCCAAACTATGTTGCTAACAGTTTAGCAGCTATGCTTTTAGTAAACAAACCCTGTTTAAAGCCTTTTTCCAGCCTTAGAATGGATGTTTAATCCAATCCTCCCGCCGCCATGTGCAGACTAGTGATGGATCCAGCAACACGACTGCATGGAGCTCATAGAGCAAAACACTATCGGCGTGTCGTTTTAAGAAAGTCATGTGACCGATATAGGAGCTGTTTCTAACTGACTGAGACACTAAACTGTGTTTAAAAACGTATCTGTCAACATGATGCATCTGCTAAAACAATGTTTTTAATCTGTTGCTGTTTATCATTAAAATGATCAAGATATTTGGAGCAGCCTAAGAGGAATAGAAACGCTTCAGCTGCTGCGTTTTTATTTTCATTTCCTCATTGTGTCGTCCTTTTCCTCTCAGTTATCACTCAACTTATCTGAATTAAAGTTATTTCAAATCGACTGCACTTATTGTTTTAAAAGCATGATTTAAAATCCTGGTCTACAAGCATCCTCATTCACATTTTCACGTTATGATAAATGTTTACGTTATTTATTGGCTGCATCTAAAAATATCAAAGATATTTTCAATTTAAGCATAGATATGAAATAATACAATATAACCTACAATAACAAATGATATCATTGTATTAGGTCATCTGTACGTCTATTTCCATCATACAAATGTCTGCACATGATCATTTGATGAAATATAATCAGGGGCGACCATAAATAAAAAAAAAAAAGAAAGAAAAAATCCCAACTTTGGGGCTTTTCATTTTAAATCTTGACGGGAAAAGGATGATATTGTATCAGCCAGAGACTTTATAGTCTTTTCTTCTCTCATAATTTCATATAAATCTGTTTGACTGTTCTCAACTACTGACACCTTAGCTTAAAATCTAGATCTCTTTCAAACTGGGCACCGTTTCATCCACAACACCTGTTCCATCAACCAGGAATACTTTAATAATCCCAGGGAGAAATGACTCTGTATGTAATAGAGTGACTGTAGGACCAGTTTGATATAACACTATTTTATACAACATATATAACTAGGGGGTCCCCGCTCCATCTTGCCATCAGTTTGGGGGCCCTTGCCCTGGAAAACGTTGAAGAGCCCTGATCTATATAATCATTCTATGAGCCTTTTAAATGTCCAAAAGGTGTCAGTATTCAGTGAGACAGAATCAATACAGTTTGGCAATGAGTCGAAACGCTTCAAGATGCCTCATTAGCCCATCACTAGAGCAGACTGTGACTCCATTGTCCAGCAGCAGGTAAACAATCTAACAATTCTACAGATATCTGAGGAATCAGGGATCAGAACAGCCTCCATGTTGGAATCTAAGCATCACAAACAACATGGAACAGTAGAGTTTAGCCTGAAAAGCTGCAATGACCAAACATGATGCAGACTTTAGCCTTTTAGGCTCTGCTATCAACCGGAGGTTAGCTTTAGCTTAGCATGTTGATCTCCTCTAAGCAGTTTTCCAATCAGATGAGGCTGAAATCCACAGTGTGCATCATCAGGGAATCGTTTCTATCAGGTGTTTCCTACCTATCCGGTGTAAGATGATCTGGGGGATCCTGGTGAAATCCAGCAGTAGATGTTGATCGTCCATCTTTTCCTCCGAATTGACCAAACTCCCTTTAAACTCCGTGAATGTTTCTTCAGCAGGAGTTAACTGCTCGGTGATAAACTCTCCTTGAAGCTGGACTGAAGACATTCTCACTGCAAACACTCCCAGATTATCAGCCTCTCTACAATGACTCCACACACAAGCTAAGCTAATGCTGCTGGTTTAATGTGTCGGTGCCTCGCTGCAAGTACATCCCGCTGCAGCCTGCGGGAAGGCCCACATCAAGGACAGCCATATTGGAAATGCTGACGTAACAGGGCAGGGAATAATATATGTAAAGATATGTTTTCATCTTAATTGTGAAAAGTTATCCCTCGAGCCCTGACGTAAATAGTCTGTAAATTTAAACAAAATACGCCGCACAGTGCTGAGGCATCATTAGTGTGTTCAGCTTGAATCAGCATGTTTGAGTAGCAGGTCGACCGCCCCAATATGGCGGCCGTAATTCCTGCGCCGCGACAGCCAATCCCGCATTGCTACTACTGATTTTTTTTTTTTTTTTTTCACTTAAAGTCACACAACAATATATAAACAAACAAACAAACAAATAAATATGCCAGGGGGTATGTCACAATAAACAAGTACAGTTAGGAGAAAAAAAACAATATATATATATATGTGTATGTATTATACAAATAAATATTTCTTTTACAACATTAAGTTGTCTAGAATTTCTAGTTGGGAACAGATTGTTATGGTTTTTTGAGCTTTCTGATCAGAAGAAAGATGAATTGTATGAAAATATTGTTTGACTTCTATTAAATAAGCTTTAAAGTCCGTTTTTTTTTTTTTTTGAAATTTAAATTTATGCAAGTGAAATTTGGCCAACAAAATTAAAAGATTGATAAGGAAAGGTTTGGGAAACATTTTACTTTGCAGTTGAAAGCCAAATAAAATGTTTTTCCAATGAAGCTGAAAATTTTTCATAACATTTGAATTCACATAGTTGCAAAAGTGTAACCAAAACGTCTTAGAGTATGGACACAACCAAAACAAATGTGTTACAGTTTCTGGGAGAAGATCACAAAAAGTGCAGTTCACAGGAATATCAGGCTTAAACTTTTTTAGGTAGTCTTTTAGAGGATAAATCCTGTTGGGGTCTACTGATATTATATTATTATTTGAACTTCCGCACCAGCAAGTATTTGGTTATATTGCTTTTCTTAATCAACGCTGGAGATAGGCACGAGCAACCCCCGCGACCCCATGAGGGATTAAGCGGGTCAGAAATTTGATAGATAGATTTTTTCTTAATCTGCGATGGACTGGGAATCTGTCCAGAATCCACTGCACCAGCCCTAACGACACCATTATAGGGATAAGTGTGCGTGTATGATAATTATTGGATAGATAAATGTGTCCTCAATGTAATGTACTTTTGTCTCTAAACTACTAATTTAATTTACATTTTATGACATTTGTTTTTCATAGGGTTTGAGGATAGATAAATACATCTTCATAATAATTCCTTATTGTTGTTTATTTTAGACTGTTTGTTACTAATGTTATTTTAACATCTGAAAATTTAATAAAGATTTAAAAATAAAAAGGACATACCACGTGACAGACATACCATGTGACATAACACATTTTTTTGGCCATTTCTCTCGCCAGCGCCTAAAGGCAAGAGCGGTCAGCATTTCCAATATGGGATGGCAGTTATATTAAGCTTACAGTGGGTAGAGGAGGTTCAACCAGACAGGGTGGTGATATGTACAGACTCTAAAGCAGTGTTAGAAAGTATCCAGGGAGAAGGAAATAATAGGAAAGAGTTAGTATTAGAAATTATGCATAGTTTATTTAGATTATATAGAGGTGGTATTAATGTCTGGTTCTGCTGGGTTCCAGCTCACGAAGGGGTTAAAGGAAATGAAAAAGCTGATAAATTAGCAAAAAGGGTTTTAGAAATGACAATGAAGATGATAATTCCTTTCGGGAAAGGGAAATCACGTATTAAAATGAAAGAAATAAAAGAATGACAAAAAAGGTGGAAAGAAGATAAGAAAGGGAGAAAATTATATAAAGTGCAAAAGTCAGTACTAATTAGAAATATTGATGAGAGAAACAGAAGGGAAGAAATAATTATGACTAGATTAAGAGTAGGACACACCTATTTAAATGACACTTTACATTTAATAGGGAAGAAAAGTAATGATAAATGTGAAGGATGTGGAGAGAAAGAAAATGTAGAACATGTATTAATGAACTGTAGAACATATGAATCTGAAAGAAAAAAAATCTGAAAAGAATTGTTGGAAGGACAGGAAAAGAAGTGAGTCTTAAAGGAATATTAGGAAATGAAGGAAACATAATGGATATTTATAGAGTAAGGAAAGCTTTATTTACTTTTCTTAAAAACACAAGATTAATAAATAGAATTTAATAAATGTAGAGAAAATGTTGCTACACACTTGTGTACAGTAGGTGGCGGTATGCACCTAAAAGTTACTTGCAATCCGCCATTAATGAAAAGAAGAAGAAGAATTTCCAAAATGGCTGTCCTTGATGTGGGCGGGGCTTGATGTCAAGCCCCGCCTTCCCGCAGGCTGCAGCGTGTTTCTTTTTTTTTTTTTTTTTTTTTTTTTTTTTCAATGAACTTTATTTAAATGAAATTAGTATACAACAAACAGCATAAAGAACAATACAACATTCAAGCAATACAACAAGGGGTGATTAGATAAGAACATGCAAAGACGTACATATCGAGATTGTCCTTTGAGCCTTTTGATTTGTAGAGTCTGTTATTGATTTGACATATAGAGCCATATCTTTAATGAAAAAAGAAAAACAAGGTGTCCTATTAGCAAACTTGCATTTATGAATATAATATTTAGCAAAGAGTATTAGTAAGTTTATTATAAAGAAATGATTAGCAACCTTTCTATGAAATCTATAGAAACAAAATAAAACATTTTCCCAGCATAAAGAAAAAAATTTTAAAATATGGTCAATAATAAACCTGCTAAATTCAGACCAAAACCTTTGTATAACAGGGCAGAGCCAAAAAAGATGTGTCACAGTTTCTGGATGGCCCTCACAGAAAGTGCAATTAGTGTTTATGTCGCGTTTATATTTTAACATATAATGTTTAGCAGGGTAAATTTTATGGAGAATTTTAAATGACACTTCCTTCACCTTGTTAATAATTAAATATTTATGAGGGATCATCCAAACAGTTTTCCAGTGAATATCTGGGATATAACGGCTCCAATAAAATGTTATGGCTGGACGAGAAACAGTAAGTTCTTGGAACAATCTTCGTATTCTCTCATTGCTTTTCCTAAACTCCATTGAAAAACAGCTTTTTCCCACAGATGATTCGGTTAGAGCAGGGATAAAAGGTGGAACAGACAGAGAATAATTAGTGTTTTTAAACAACATTAAGGTGCCCAAAGGTACAGCATTAACCACCAAGGAGAATTCCTGGATACTAACTGGAAAATTATATATCGAGCAGAATTCATTGTAATTGATTAACCGTCCTTCTTTATTAATCAGCTGAGCCACCAGTAAAATTCCTTTTTGAACCCAGGTTTCAAGATAGAGTGACCTGTTTTTAAATAGAATATCTCTGTTGTTCCAGATGAGGTATTTGTGAGGTGAGAAGTTATGTTTATAAATGAGTGTCCATGCTAAGAACACCTGCTTATGGAAAGATGAGAGTTTTACAGGGAGTTTCTCAACATTGTAATTACAATGTAGAATAAAGTTGAAGCCACCAAAGCATGAGAAAATGTGTTGTGGTATAATGTTCCAAATAGAGGTTGGATTCTTAAGGAAGTGTTTAGCCCATTTAATTTTAAATGTGTTATTTAGGGTAGAGAAATCCAGAAAGTTAAGTCCACCTGATTCATAATTATTCATAATAACACTTTTTTTGATATAGTGAGTACGATTTTTCCATATAAAATTAAGAAGCATACGATCAATATCTTTACAGATTTTATTGTCTAAATGTAAGGCGAGAGCAGCATAAGTCAGTCGGGATAATCCTTCAGCTTTAGAAATCAAAATTCTTCCTCTAAGAGATAAATCCACGGAAATCCACGGAAATGGACCCGCAGGTCAACCAGGCGAAGGTTTTGGGTGAGGCCTGGCAGAACCAGTAGCTGGTGGGACAACTTTGTTAATGGTGTTGTTCTGGACGATGAATGGAAGGCAAACTTTCGCATGTCACGACAATCTGTTGCCACGCTCACCGATGAAATACGCCCATACATTGAATGCCAAGAAACGAACATGAGAGCACCTATGGAGCCGCTGAAAAAAGTAGCAACGACCCTTTATTATTTAAGTGACGAGGGCAGGCTCCGAAAGACTGCTAACGCCTTTGGTGTATCGCGGCAGGCTGTTTCCGTCACAGTCAGGCAGACCTGCAGGGCCATCTCCATTCACCTTGGTCCCCGGTACATCAGACTACCCTTTTCAGAGGATGCCGCCACGGAACTGGTCGACGGTTTTCAGCGTGCTCATGGAATGCCCCAATGCCTGGGAGCAGTTGATGGCACACATATTGAAATAAAACAGCCATCGGTAAACTCCACGGACTATATAAATAGAAAAGGTAAACACACCCTGAATGTCCAGGCGGTGTGCGATTATAAGTACCGATTTATCGACGTTGTTATAAAGTGGCCTGGAAGTGTGCACGACACACGCGTGTTTGCTAACTCGGAGGTAAATCAGTTCATGAAAACCGGAAAGATTCCTACTCTCAAACGGCAGATTGTGGATGATGAAGATCCCATACCAATCTTCCTCCTTGGAGATCCAGCATATCCGCTTCTGCCTTATCTGATGAAGGAGTTTTCCAATGGTGGATCATCGCCACAAGAGCAGTACTTTGGGCTCTGTTTATGTAGGGCACGTATGGTTATTGAGTGTGCTTTTGGCCACCTGAAAGCTAGGTTCGCTGCACTCCGATGGACATAAATATGACTGACCTGCCTTACATCATATATTCTTGCTTTGTCC